AAAAAAAAAAAAATTAAAAACAACCTCCCTCCCCACCCAAACAGGAAGAAAACCTCTTCTTTCCTCATCCTAATTTCCAATCTCCCTCTAGTGTGACGCCACGGCACTCTAGCCTAGGCAACACAGTGAGACAAAAAGTTTGAACAAAAAAAAAAAAAAAAAAAAAATTAAGAACGACCTATGAAAAGGTCTGGGTAGCAGCCATTGGGATAATGTAGTGTCTGTTGGCATATTTTTTGGCATCTGCAATTTAAAGAGAGGGTGAAAAAAAAAAGAAAAAGAAGCAAAGAAGGGAGGAAAGACAATGGCACATGGCATTTCAAAAGAAAGGACTCCTGCGTGTCATTGCCCTTGCCTTGCTGACTTCTGTGCACTTCTCAGAGCAATCAAGCTACGACTGAAGGCAAACATCCAAAAGAAATGACACTTAAACCGTTCCATGGGCATCTGCTGTCCCAGTCCAAAGTGAGATAGACAATGTATCTATTAAAAAAGGAACTCTGTATGTGTATCCACAGCTATACATTTAAAACCACAGTATTAATACGTACAATCCTTCAGCAAAAACTACAGACTGTTAAATTAAGCTGATGTAGGATGGCTTAAATCGAATGACATTGTCCTGACTGTATCATTCGAGAGAAAAACTTGACCAAGAATGGAACTAGGATAAAGGCCATTGCAACCTGGGAAAAATCAGGAGGGAGGTGTGGAGTAGGAAAAAGGGAAATTAGCTTTGTTTTGCTCAATAGAAAAGAAAAAGAGAGGGAGTGAGAGTGAGAGAGAGAGAGAAATAATTCTTATCTTTGTGAGTGCATGACTGAGAATTTAAAATACATTGAGTCACAAGGTTTTGCCTAAAAAAAAGAGAGAGAGGAAATGTGCTGGGACTGTACTTCAGCATCCTCTGTTTTTCCTCTGAATAGTTTAAATAAAATCATAATATTTACTACAAACTCTGTGGACACGCTCACACAGAGTCCAGGACGGCAATAAATTAGTATTATGCAAATTGTTTTCCACAGAAATACAGTCCCTCTTGTGTATCTTCAATAGCCCACCAGGGAAGGGGAGGGCGGGTGGCTAGGAGGCACAATTAGACCAGATTGTACTCCTTCAGATTCAACTGGAGGATGGTGTCCTTGACGGCAGCAAAGACAAAGCGGATGTTCTCGGTGTCTGTGGCGCACGTGAAGTGGGAGTAGATAATTTTGTCACTGTCTGGGTTCAGGTCCACGAACATCTTCAGGATGAATTCTCGAGCTGCCTGGGCATCTCTCTGGGGTCCTGTTGGTCAAGGGATGAAAGGGACAGCTTGTTAGTTGATCTGTTGATGCATCGGTCATGATTCATTCAATAAATACTTACCGTGTCATTGCCCAGGAAGAGTACATCTGCATTGCAGATTTGATCTGTTATAATCATTTTCCCCAACACCACTATGTCCGTGCATCCACCCGCCTATCCATCCGCCAGCCCATCCATCCATTCACAATGTGGGTAAGTGAAAACAGATGACTTGAAGACTGATTCCTTGAGTGACAGGGAGCCAGCGCAGACTCTTCGGCAGGGGAGTGATAGCTTATTTCTGTTCAACTGAGTTAACTACGCTGGCTTCGGCTATATAAGCATGCATACAGACGCAGCTGCCTCAGGCTCTCTTGTCAATCTGTCCTCCAAAGACCTGACATAACATTATGAATTATTTTAAATTCTCCAGCCTGAAACATCTCTCAGAATAGATCTGTTCCTTAAAGTCAGGTCCATCTACAATGGTCCTCTGCAGTCTTATTTCCATAGACTTCTGAGCACACTACATTTACATAGTATTTGGTTCACTATATGTGATGATAAAAAAAAATTGGTTTACATTTGTTACATTGATTGGGGTCTCTTATGTACCAAGCATTACCCTAGATGCTTTCAAAAAGGATTGTGATGTATTTATCAGGATAAACTAAAAATGTATTTAATAATTTTGCAATGAATTCTTATATATGCACCAGAGCACAGGTCATATTTTTCCACAAAAGAAAAAATCAGATAAATTGGACTTTATCAAAATTAAATGCTTTTGTATATCAAAGGACATTATTAAGAAGGTGAAAAGACAACCTATAGAATTGGAGAAAATATTTGCTAACCATTTATCTGATGAGGGTTAGTATCCAGAATATATAAAGAGCTCCTACAACTCAACAACAAAAAGACAAACAACCCAATTAAAAAATGGGCAAAGGGCTTGAATACACATTTCTCTAAAGATATACAAATGGCCAATAAACATATGAGAAGATGCTCAACATTATTAATCATTTAGGGAAATGCAAATCAAAACTGCAATGAAATACACTTTATATCTATTAGAATGGCTATTAAAAAAAGTGGAAAACAGCAAGAGTTGGGGAAGATGTGGAGAAATCTGAACCCTTGTGCACTGCAGGTGGGAATGTACAATGGTGCAGCTGCTGTGGATAACAAGTTATTCCTCCAAAAGCTAAACACAGAATCACCACACGACCCAGCAATTTTGTTCCTAGGCATCTGTCCACAGGAACTGAAAGCAGGGGCTCTAACAGATACTTGTACACCAATTTTTATAGTAGCATTATTCACAACAGCCAAAAGGTGGAAACAACCTAAGTATTCATTAACAGATGAATGGATTAACAAAATATGGCATATACATACAACAGAATGTTATGCAGCCATAAAAAGGAATGAAGTTCTGATAGATGCAGTAATACATATGAACCTTAAAAACATACTAAAGTAAAATAAGCCCAACAGAAGAGAACAAATATTATATGATTGTACTTATATGAGGTACCTGGAATAGGCAAATTCATAAAGACAGAAAGTATATTAGAGGTTACCAGGGGCTAGGAGGAAGGGGAAATGAGGTATTGTTGCTTAACTGGGGTGATGAAAACATTTTGGAAATACTGATGATGGCTGTACAGTATTGTGAATATAATTAATGTCACTGAATTGCACACTTAAAAATGGTTAAAATGGCAAATTTTATATATATAATTTAAAAAATGAATGTAACATATAAAAAACCATTATATTGTACACTGTAAAAAGTTCAATTGTATGGGAGTTTTATCTTAATAAAGCCATTTTAAAGACTTATTTAATATATCCTGATAAATACATTAATTTAAAACTTATTGTAAATTAATAACATCAAAACACCACCACCTTTCAAGTATGGAGCACCTATCATATATTTGTCTTTGTGTCACTATATATCTGCATTTCCTTCCATTTTTTTAAGTGAGCTCTATACTAAGCAAGGAGAAAGTCATGCTATAACTTTTTCCCCCTCCACTTCCTTCCTTTGGGTAAGACTCTCCTAGGATTCACAACTTAGGTATTTTTCTATCAATATTAGTATTGATAGATTGTTATCATCTATTGGTTGGGATAAAGAAATCTTTGAGAACTCTACTGAGAGCCCGACCACCATTTCTAACAAAATGCATCCCGAGTTTCAGACAGCTTACTTGAAAACTTTTCAAAACAACCTTTTTATAAATTGGGTATTATTCTTATGAGCTTATATTCAACAGTGCCAGAAGTTAGGAGAAAAGAGTTAGGAAAACAAATGGATTATTCTCATTGTACAATTAAAAACAGTAATGTTTGAATTTTTTACGTAGGTACCCAGAACTGAAATTTTTGTCCATGACTAAGGTGGCCAGCATCATATTACACAAAAAGTGACACAATTAAAAGTAATATGTAAAATATATGTATGGTATATATCTACAGAATTATTTAACGTCCAATCTTTTTCAATGTACTATTGTTAACTTACTAATTCCAGAGCAGTAATAAAAAATATTTAAATCTGGAAATTAATAGATTGTTAGAGCTGAAGAAGCCTCTAATTTTTGTAAAAGAACACTCTATTTCTGGCTCGTGAATGAACTTCCATACGATTTTGTACTTTCCCCATTTGGGAAAGAAGGGCCTACACCTTTTTTTCTTTTTTATTTACCCTAAGGAATATTAGATCCAGATTCAAGTGCACTGAAGTGCACTTAACGTTTTTAAGCATAAATCATGTTATTTGAATAAACATAAACTACAAAGAAATCATTATCGCCATCACAGCAGGAGCAGAATTCCACAGTCTCTATGAACAATTTTGCAATTCAAGTCCATGTGGAAATGGTAATTTCCCTTCCTGAAGAGAAATACAGAATGGCATTCATTATGATTAAGACCTTGTAAGTACAGAAATGTGGAAGTGTGAAATTTATAATACTATAAACACGCTTATTATAAAAACATTACTGCAGAGTGGGCCTGGATTTTTTTTCAGTCTTTGCTCATCTTGCAAGGGCTTGGAGTCTCACGGAATGACAGCTGTGCTGGCTTTGTGAATAACACAATCAGTGTCTTTTTTCTTTTCCACGGCCAAGTTTCCTATGTGCATTATGTGTATACTGGGGGAAATTAACAGCAGAAAAGCCTTCAAATTTCAAAACGATCAAAATGGACACATGTTGGAAGGAAAATGCTTGTAGTGTTCAGGAATCTGGGGAAATTACTTGAGAAAGGAGATATGTAAAGAGATTAGGAAGATATTGCAGAGAACAGCAGTGCAAACACCCACCCTAGAAATAAGTCTTTTACTGCAGCAAATCAACCACCACGCGGTGTGGCTAGGTCTGCTGCAGCCCAGTAGCTTGAGTTGGTCCCTTGAGGGATTCACCTCTGCGGGTGCTGTGCTCTACCTGTCCTGCGTCCTCCCTTTGCAAGCACATCACGAAAATGTGCTGTCCTATAAAGCAGGGTGCTGTATATGGTGTGGCCATTTCCCATCTGCTGATTCTCATCAAATTCTGAGAAAAATTAAGAAGAGTCTCTCCTGCATGTGTGAGGCAAGCAAGTGTGTTTAGGTCTAAGCCAGACGCTGCATGCCCATGTCTCATGTCTAAAGAACGAGCCTGTTGTGGGAAAGCAAGTTGACTACACACAGACACTTCCGTCCATAGTTTCCTCAGGAACACTGAGGAACAGTCTCAAGCATTTATGACTTGTTTCTAGGCTAGTGGCAAACGAAAAGGAGTGAAAGGGAAAACACTGTTTAGGCTAAGAAAGAATTTGTTTTTAAAGGAACAGCAAAGCACAAAGGAAAATACACTTGGAGAGAGGATGTGAACACACTGCTAACAAAATACTATCTCTAAAATCTGATATCATCCCCAAATGTTTGTATTTTCAATTCCTCAACCTTCAGCACCTGCGTTTGAGAAGGGAACTTCAGCTCATTAAACATGTAACATTTCCCTTCCGCGAGCCAGCGCTGTACCATATGCACGTGGGATGAAACGATGACTAAACCTCCATCCCTGATGTGTCTGTATCTTCACAGAAAGCTACGAAGTGAAATTTAATCTTCGTTTTTAAAGTAATTACCTTTCTGAGGGAGCTTTTAGAAGTGCAAGAGCATTGTTCAGCTGATATCCGTCCTGGATATCATCTGTTGATAATGTAATTTTTAAAATGGTCTATTCTCTTGCTGTGACATATACCTCTCTAATAGGTAACTTTGAGTTTGTGCTCTTCTCTGTGGTAAGTGATCTATACAGGACTCCATTCAATTCTTTTTTTACTCAGGAAAAAACTGAGTAGTTAAAGAAATTTGTCCAAGGCAACACAGCCAGTGAATGGCAGAGCTGGAACTCTGAGACATTTGTAGCTTGTGCTCTTAGATACTATCTACACCAAGGCTTGCCAAAGTTCTCTGTAGAGGGCAGAGAGTAATTATCTTAGGCTTTGTAAACCATTCTGTCTTGGTCCCCACTATCCAATTCTGCTGTTGTATCGTGAAAGCAGCTATCAACAGTGCATAAATAAATGTGTGTGGCTGTCTCAATAAAACTTTACTTACAAAAACAGGTGCGGGCCGTAGTTTTCCCCTCCTAATTTAGACTCAAGTTTGTATGGGGTAGGGGAAGGTATGTGTTTATCCTGCCACATAAGCTCTTCTAGGGCAGTAGCTCTGACTCTTTCAAAACTTGTCTGACAGTGGCTAGATGGGGATGCATTTTGTTACTAATCAACAAGTTGTTCTCTTTGTCTATGACTTTTAGCTTTACTAAGGAATGAAATATTTTGTGTCATTAAAAGATAGGGCAAATAGCAATTCATACTTCATCAATCCCAACACAGGGTTTGCAGGGCAAGGACAGTAATGGTACACCAAACAGTATGTTAACTCTTGCAATGGTATTGGGAGGCAAAACCTGCCCCAGCTACTGGGCTGTCTGAGTGCTGACTTACCGTCATATTCTGGGAAGTAGTCAACTAGATGGGAATACATAATTTTCTCCTCTAGAAGATCCTTCTTGTTTAAGAACAGAATAACCGAGGAGTTCTGGAACCAGGGATATGTGATAATTGTTCTAAAGAGTGCTTTGCTTTCCTCCATTCGGTTCTGAAAAAAACAATCATCAGAAAAACAAGGAGTGAATTTTATGATTATTCAGTCTGTGAATTGTGTTTATTTCAGAAGTCCAACCCATCTTTTGTATGCATCCAGTTTTATATGCAAATGATTCATGACACACATTAGCTGTTTTCATTATGCAAACTCTCTGGTTGACAAGCAGAAAAGAATAATAATAATAAATATCTGCTGAAATAACTCTTATGGTTGAAAGAGAAAATAATCAAAGCCTAGAGAACCATGCTGCATCTGGCACACTGTCATAAATTTACACCAAAAATTATTCATTCATGACCAAATACTTAAGATCTGAATTAAGAACTAAATAGTAGGTTTCATTTTGCGTTTCCTAAACTGTATTTATTTGGGAGCCTCACAATTAACTCTATTTTAAACAATTAAAACGAAGTTACTTAATTCTTTGCCCGAAGCACATCTTTATTTCTAGAATTATTACTATTATATATATATCTCTCCCTATTTTATAGATATATCTCTTGATAAACACATGAAAATATATTTTCAGATCATATATTTCCTGTTCATCAATGCATACCTTCTCCCTATGTTTCACTATAATTTTTATACACAGTTGTGGAGATATGCATAGTAATTACCTGGAGATACAAACGTATTAATAATATTTCTCACCTTCAGCATTTGTAAGTGTTCTCACCTGCAGAAGCTATACTTTTAAGTCTGCCTTGGTAACAGAGATCCTAAATGGATTCTCAAGGAAATTAGTCATCTTGCTCTTATAAATGAAGATGCTACTTGAGGCTATTCCTGAGTCAAATCACTCCTCTTAAAAAAAAAAAACTAATCATCAGCCAAGAGCTAAGACCTTGTAGCTTCTTCAGTATCTCCTCACCAGTTCTTTCTCCCACAGACACACTCACCTCTCTAAATCATTCCCACCCTTGGTCAGAGAGAAATGCAGCAGATTTGGGAGAATTCCTCTTTCCCTGAGGATATAAAAGCCACTTCATCTGGGACACACTTTCCAACCTCCTTTAGTTCTACGTGTTATGACTGAGTTTTGGGCAAGGGAAAAGCCTGCTGGGATCTAATTGAGCCCACCTAGGTGCTAAGGGGTGGCTCGGTGGTTTAAGCCATAGCATCCTAGTTCCCTGGCAGGCAGATAGAGGGCTCAGGGCTGGGCTCTGATCCAGGCCCAGGTCACTTGGTGCTCCCCTCCCCTTGCTTATGGTGATCAGTTTAGCCAAGCACCTCAACTGGGCCAGTTAAGCCCAGGACTCTTGCTGGGAACTCTGGAACAGAGAACCTTGATTTTGAGGAGTGTGCAGAAGGTATCGTGAAGCCTCAGGAGCTTCTGTAGCCATCTCAAAACTAAGGTCCTGCTTACCTGGGTTTACCTGCTTGTTCCTTTGGATTTTTCAGTAATGTCAGTCAATAGTACCGTTTACTTTTTAAGTAAGTTTGAGCTCTGTTTTTCTGTTTTTTATTGTACAATATACTTCCCAGTTGATATTCCGGGATATATTCCCCTCTAAGCTTATAAAAGGAAGGGAATGATACCTGAGGGATGACCGCTAAGACTGGGGGTTGCAGCTGTGAACACCTTCTGTTCAGATTTTGCCCTCCTGCTGCAGAATGTCCCAAGTTTCACAGTGCAGGGTTGCAAAGGCCACATGCCCCTCACGCAAACCTCCAGGACACTCAGCTCACCAAGTACGATCGATCAGATCCTGAATATGTCTTGCTCATTTCTTCTACAAAGCGTGCCAAATCAAATCATGCGGATCTTTGCTGAATCAGGTAAAGCCCATTGTCTCCGATCTCTTCAATGTGGTAATTTTGTGCCTAAACTGCTTAGATAATTAACACTGATGAAACACATGGGCTAGAATAGAGAACCCAGATGTAAAACCATCCTCATACAGTCATCTAATCTTCAACGAAGCAGAGCAAACATACACTGGAGAAAAGAATCCTTATTCAATAAATGGTGCTGGGAAAATTGGATAGCCACATGTAGAAGACTGAAACAGGATCTGCAACTCTCACCATGCACAAAAATTAACTCAGGATGGATAACAGACTTAAACCTAAGCCATGAAATTACAAGAATTCTAAAAGAACATGTTGGAAAAACTCTCATAGACATTGACCTAGGCAAAGAATTTATGAAGAAAACCCCAAAAGCAATGACAGCAACAACAAAAATAAGTAAATAGGACCTAATCAAATTAAAAAGCTTCTGCACAGCCAAGGAAACAATCATTAGAGTGAATAGACAACCTACAGAATCGGAGAAAATAGTGCATGCTATACATCCGATAAAGGGCTGATAATCAGAATCTACAAAGAACTCAAGCAAATCAGCAAGGAAAAAATCAAACAACCCCATTAAAATGTAGGTAAAAGACATGAACAGAAACTTCTCAAAAGAAGATACACTAATGGCCAACAAACATGAAAAAATGCTCAACATCTCTAATCATCAGGGAAATGCAGATCAAAACCACAGTGAGATATCACTTAACTCCAGTGAGACTGGCCTCTATCAAAAAGTCCCAAAACAACAAAATGTTGGTGTGGATGTGAAGAAATAGGAACACTCATACACTGTGTGGGACTGCAAACTAGTATAACCTTTATGGAAAGTAGTATGGAGATACCTCAAAGAACTAAAAGTAGAACTACCATTTGATCCAGCAATCCCACTACTGAGTTTTTGCCCAACGGAAAAAAAGGCTTTTTATAAAAAAGACACCTGCACCTGAATGTTTACAGCAGCACAATTCACAACTGCAAAGATGCAAAAACAACCCAAGTGACCATCAATCCACGAGTGGATTAATAAGATGTGGTATATGTATACCACGGAGTACTACTCAGCCATAAAAAAGAATGGTGAACTAATACCTTTTGTATTAACCTGGATGGAACTGGAGCCCATTCTTCTAAGTGAAGTATCACAAGAATGGAAAAACAAACACCACATGTACTCACCATTAAATTGGAACTAAATGTTCAACACTAATGTGTACATATGGAAATAACACTCATTGGAAATCAAGCAGGTAGGATGGGGGAGGAAGGGATGGGTAAATTAAACGTTCGTACCCCCATAATATTCTGAAATAAAATTAAAAAAAAAATAAAATATTTTTGGTTGCAAAAAAAAAAAAACACATGGGCTGATATAGTGAAAGATTACCGCATGGCTCAAGGGACGGTGTTTATTTCTCTTTTATATAAATGACATGCAGAACCTTTAAAAATATTTTTACTATCTACATGCCTTTTACTGGTTATCATAGCCAACGTTTAGATTTTAAGTCCCGGAAATAATACTCACTAAGAAATGATATCTTGTAATGTAAGATTTTATAGGCTGAGAATTTCAGGACTGAAGAAAAATAAAGGCCCTAATAAGAACTGAAAGAATATTTTAAAAATTCAGAGATTAATTAGATAGTAACATCTCTGATGGGAGAGTTAACGTTTTTCCCTCTTACTTATAGCTAGAGAAATTCTAGAAACTCATACTACGGTCTTTGCAGAAGCCCTGTCTAAAGGGTGGGTATGTATCCCTTGGCATCAGTTGGCGAGTCTCCATTAGAAAGACTTATTATATTTAGTATTCTTCCGAAGGGGCTCCAGTTGAATCTTTTCTGGTTGGAGTCCTTCAAGGGGAAGTGGCTAGACCCTGGGCAGAGCCAGGGAGAGTGGGCCTGACGTTGTGGTTAGTACGAAGAGAGTGTGTCAGGTCTCTCTGATAGAGTTTCAAGACTGCACTGGAGCCCCCAGGCTCTGGATGAAGTCTTCTGGGAGGGGGCCTCACGCTGGCCCGCAGGACAGAGGCCAGGACAGGGACTGAGCCCAGTGCTGTGCTCCAGAGAGACCTGCCCAGAAGGCTGTCCCACTGTACCCAGCCTGTTGCACTCAGGGCCACTCTGGAAGCAGGTCCTGCAGATCCTTCACCTATATATGCAGTTTGGGGCTGCTCTAGGGTATTCCCCTATTCACCATGTGCTGTGTGGACCGGAGCTTGATTGTATAGTTCAGAAGAAAGCTAGAGAGCAGAGGTGGGCAGCTGACCACCACTGGGCCTTCAACCAGACCAACCAAACTGTGTTTCTGAGGTGGGGCTGGGAAAGCTGCATCTTAAGCCCTCCAGGGGTCCCGATGCACACTCCACTTTGCGAAGCACTGTGCTGGAGTCAGGCTTCTCCAACACTGCTGTCATTAGGAGTCACTCAGGGGTCCTGTTGAACGAGACTTCTGCTTCAGCATGGGTGGAGCCCGAGGGTTTGCATTTTGAACAAGCTCCCAGGCAAGGCTGATGCTGCAATTCCCAGACCACACTTTGAGTCCGCTGGAAGGTGCAGAAAGCTTGCTGAGCCAGGGACAACAAAGAAAAGGTGATGCTCTATCTCTTTTTGTGATAAGAGGCGCAAGTCGACACATACAGCTGAGTGTCTCATTGTTGCAATAAAAATCCAACTGTGTAGGCTTCATTCTTTTTGTTTTTCCCAAATAAGATGAGTTAAGATTCTTACTTTATGCTATATGATTTATTTTTCACTCCATTGTGAAAATTCCCTATATGCCCCTCTTCCTTTTTCCCCCCTCGTGGGAGAACAGTTACAATCTGACAGGGTCTGTATCAAGCCCTGGACTAAACCTAAATGGACTGAGTGAGATTTTCACGATGACTCACAGGTAGTAGAACGTGCAGAACGCAAGGCATAATCCACTTTGTTCAGCAGAAACTGAAATCTAGGAGGGAACAGCATGTCCCAGGAGACTTCGTGGCACTTGCTTTTCAGTAATTTGCTAGGACATGAGGTTTCTAGGAGGATCAATGTATGAGATGCGTGTATGACCCATGACGAAAAACAAGGAGGCTTTGTTTACTCCGAAGACAGGCTGAAAGGCAGTCTGGGGGTGGTGCTGATCGCACCCTCCTTTTCTTGGGGTTTTAACTAGTTGGGAAATGTACAAAGAGGACACTAGTA